GCCTGGCTTAACATATTTCAGGTATTTGTTTATTTACACTGGAATTTTGAAGGCACTTGTCAATTATCTTGAACAATCCAGTTACCATATTAAGAAGGAAGTTTAAGCCAAATTCATCCTCATAAAATTGATTTGTAAGGTGAGAATTACCCCAACATATATACTATAAGTTATCATTGTCTCTAATAATGCACCCTTCTCACGCCAAGAAATGTACATCTTACACATGGGATTGGATATTTGTAAATGGTCTGATGGTGAGTAACACGATAACGAATCTCGTTAGAATAAACTTTGATTCCATTTTGGAAAGGAAAGGGAGAGAAAATAAATAAACTTGGAAAGGAAAGAGAGAGAAAATAAATATTTTAGTGATATCAATAGCAACAATTACATTCTCATCATTTCTATTTGAAATAATCAAAACCTCTAAAAACATGAAATAAAAATATATTGAAATAAACAGAAAGATTTTGAAGATATTTTTTGTTTCTAATTACTATAGAAATATTGAGAATATTTTTTATCCTGTTATTTATACAACATGAATTATAAATTACAATTTGTTTGTACCAAATAACCAACTATATGGAAGGTCTGTTTACTGATATTCTCTGGATGCAACCATTTTAAAGATAAAGGGTCATGAGAAAGAATTGGTAGTCTGAACTATCAATTGTCATGTCCTTTAACATGAATGAGCTCTTCATCTGTAAACTTTACACTTTCACGAGTCATTCGCATTGACTTGTACTTAATTTTAATGTCACTGATTTGAAGGAATGCTCAATATTGCAGTTTCTCATATTGATGTCTATATGCACCAACTGTGCTCTTTTAGCGTGGCTATATGATGAGAAAGGGAAATGGAAAATAGAGCCTGGACTTGCAGCAATTTTAATCATGGAGCATGTTCTCTTGTTGATTAAGTTTGGTTTCTCTCGATTCGTTCCTGAGGTGGCTTCTTCACTTCTCATCCATAATTATTTCTTCACTTCAAAGCTCCTTTATGAAAGATAGCATGTTATAGTACTGTATTATTTGCAGGAGCCTGCTTGGGTAAGAGCGACCCGTGCAAAACGCAACACTCAGGCTCAGGATATGTGTTCTAAGAAGCTTTTAAGGACTATTTCTGGAGTGGACAAGAATTTTGGAGAGAAGAAATTGAACTGATGCCTTTCAAGCTTATTATCATTACTTCAATGCAACTTACACACGAGATAGAGAAAATCCTTATGCTGTATTGTATTTTTGTTATCTTAGTTTCTTTCCCATGGCTGAATTGTATATTAAGAAGGGATTTTGCTTTAATTGGCCTGGTTTGTCCCGTTTTAAATTGTAAATATTAAGACTACAAATTACTTCAAGTTTTATCAAAATGTGAGTAAAAGAAATAGTGTTTGAGGCATTCAAATTAAGAACAAAGTAGCTGTTGTACTCTGACAGGAAAATTTTTGGCACTTGGCAGTTCAATGCAGAGTAAAATATTACTTCTTAATTCCAGATTATATTTACAGTAATACAAAAGGTATCATAACACAAATGGATGCAAGACCCTCCCAAACACAAGCATTTTATCCACCCTGCTTCCAAAACAATTTGCATTCACCACCTGAACATATATAATATGCACAAAATCAATAAAAAAATCCAACATTTCTTCCATTAACAAAATTCAACATTTCTTCCACTAGCAAAATCCAATGCCCGTGTCTCTGATCTTGCCCTTGTGCAACAAAGTGCTATTCCATCATGTTCAATATGTGAGTTAGCCACGAGACTTTCCAAAACTGCCACTGATTTGGCGTGCATAAGCAACAACAGCCTTAGCCCACTTCTTGATATCAGCCTTCAACTTGTTGGAATCCATGTCCTTGAGCTGCTTCCCTGGTTCCATAGACAATTCAACCGAGGAGAAAGGACGATCAAAACGCCTACGTTTTGAAGATTTCTTGCCCTTAAGGCTGGCAATGGCACTGCCACCATTCAGAGACACAGATTTCTTCACAGACATGGCTGCTATGTTGTCAGCAGCCAGAAGAATAGTGCGACAGTAAGTACCAAACAAATTATGAAACTTTGTATTGCATCTAACATCATTTATAAGCTTAGCGAATTACATTAAGACAAGTAACGTGCTATTCCAATGCGTGTAATGATATGCTTTCATTGACTTTAGACTTTGTCAACACTTCTTTCTAAGGATTCCTTAGCAAGTTTAATTAGTACCTTGTAATATTCAATTTTCTTTTCTAATTTTCCTCCTTTTGTCCAAAAATTAACTACTTAATTACTAAACGAATATATAATTATTAAACGAAGACAATATTCTTATTCTGTATATAAGATGAACATTGTGGTGTTGAATATGATATATGAAGGTTGGCATCCATAGGAACAGAAAACTGTTTATCAAAATTTGATTCCAGCACTAATCATCAATGACAATGAGGACATTTTCGGTACTATTAGCATATACCGCGTTAACTTAACTAAGACAATTTATTAGAAGAACGGTAGATAGTTTGATTATTTGGGAAAATTCAAAACAAACATATTTTTACATACCAAATAATCAATTTGTAATCAAAATGTTTTCTTAATTAACATTAAGCAGCAGAAGGTTTGAGACTACCGTGATGGTCACGCATGGACAAGCTAGTCAACCATCAAGCCTGACCATGGCACAACCAAATGTTAGCAGCAACAAACATCATCATAGAACATTCATTTATAGATGTAATGTAACGAAACTGAAGGCAGGAAATTTTCTAGTTTCTAGATGTTGTCTTTATATACTAAAAAATCTACACTTACTTTGTTATTTTGTGACGACGTGTAGCTTGCAAATCCCCTCCAAATTTTTTACCAGGTGCGAATATTCTGAAGAGCTGAATATTAGCTGGTCACTAATTCGGACTTGTTGAACAACTAATAGTGGCTTAGGTAGTTTCAGCTACGCAAGGAAAAAACAAATTTAAGCCATTATTTTTAACTCCGACCATATTTTTTAACCGACAGACAAAATCGAACCATGATTGATCAAATGAAATACCACACAAAAATGGCTTTAAAATGTTGGATCCTTTTTAAATTCGAAAAGTAATGATTAACATAACCGCTTATTAAGATGAAAACAACCACATTACAAAAACGATTAGACAAGCACTTAAAATTGAAAAGGATGTTTATTTTATTCATTAAAAACTATTTACTTATTAATAAGCTTACAAGCTCACTTGTTCGGTTAGCTATAATCGATAAAGGTGTAGCTCAACTTATTTTTTATCTTGATATAGTTATTCTTATTTTCAAGCATTATGATCTATATATGTGGGCAAACTCGGTTTCACAAACAACCAGTAAATCAGTGATGCTGCTGCAACCTATGATATTTTGTCATCTTTTCCTGCAACGAAAAATCATACCGGAATGGCAAAACCACTTTGCTTAGCAACTGAGATCCCTATATTACAGTTTGTAAATCAATCACACCAAAAAGATCCCCGTTTTTTAATGTGATTAACAAATCAATATTTACATCGCAAAAAACAACCATTTGTGCAATCGTGTTTATCATGTTTCACTAACCCCAGACTTCGCGCCAATTCCGGTTTAAAATTCTAAAACAAATTGCGTTCATTATCAGAGTGAAGAATGAAGCAAAAGTAAAATTATCTTTCTAAATATGGATTTAATGCTAATAACAAGCAATAAAAACCAGCCACTTTGTCAGCTGACCTTCAAGAAACAACCATAAGACGATTATACCAAGAAACAATTAAAGGTGAAAGCTATGAAATACTGGTTCGAGTTCACATTGAATACTTCATAAATAATTGCATATTCAAAAACAACTCAGGAAATTTAGACAGGAGTTCTAAAATCACAAAAAGAGGGCAAAAACGAGGTTTGAATGCATGTTAACTCGGTCTCAATTCCCTTTCACTTCCTACCAGAGATCTTCACGGCCTGTCTGTTCCTCTTCTTGACACCAGACTTGGCAACTTTGAGGCTTCTGTTAACAGCACTCAACCTTGCAAGGGCGGCCTTCTTAAGATCAGGCCTGTAGTAATTATCCGCAACCTGAAATTTGTTGTATTGTTTTAGGAAAATGAAATCCGATAAATGTAATGTACAAGGTAATAGCACAAAAAGCTTTGGCAGCAACAATTCACAAAATACGAGCAACCATTAAGTAAGAAAGTGCGCGAAATTGGATAACATTAAAACCATATAGAGCTGTGCAAGAGTAAGTCGATTAAAAATTAAAAGTAAAAGCAGTACTCAATGCAAAAAAACTCAAATAGGCTGACTCATTGGAGCAAGCAAATTGACACTAAGGCCATACATATATTGAAGAAATTTTAGATGCTAACTAGAGAATGAACAACCAGTAAAACAAAGAGGGTAAAGATTTCCTCTGTAACCTAAACTTCGGAATAAATTCATTAATGAATTCCTTCATGATAAAAAGCTCAGAAGCCAAGCGTAACAAGTAAATTTCATTGAAGGAACCCAACTACGGATTTCTTCTTACATGTTAGAGGCTCATCACCGCTGCTGAGTGTTGCTGGCAAAAGTCCAGAAAGGTACATTGCCCAACCAATACACAACAATCACCAAATCCAAAATACATACACTTAGTACATAAAAATTTGTAATATTAAAATAATTTCAGTTTTTTTATGATTTGATATATTTAAGTATTAATTTTAATTGTTCACATTGACTAATATTTTTAAACATATTTATCATTATTATTGCTTAAATTAAACTATGTAACTTCTACAAATCAAAGAACGATTACAAAACTTTTCTTCGCATTTGTGAAAATGACACCACAGTTGTCACCTCGTGACTATGCAATGACTGGATAATAGGAAAAACATGTACTAATATAAGGAAATTAAGAACAAACAAGAAGAAAAATATATTTGATGTAATGATAGAATCAAATTCTCTGAAGAATAAATTCATGAATGAATTCCTGAATGATCGAAGCTCAGAAGCCAAGCGTAACATGCATATTGCATTGAAGAAACCCTAAAAAAGGACTCTTCTTATATGTTAGAGGCTCATCACCACCACTGAGTCTTCGAGGCAAAAGCCCCAAAAGACATTTGTTTAGCGCACAATACGCCAAAACCAAAGCACAATAATCACCAAATTGAAAACGCATAAGCACTAACTCCAACAAAGCAATGGGCATCAATAACATAAACCTTGTTTTCATTTATGAAAACGACAGCAATGTTGAGATCTTAGAAGTGTTCAGTCACTGACATAATGGGGTAAACGTCTACAACAAGGACATTAAAGAACGGAATAGCTATTGGAAATAGCAAAGGAATCAAACGATAAGGAATTAGAACGAGAAGATGATACAAAAAACATAAAAACCACAGCTTTAAAAAACATTCTTTTTTCATTTACCTGATTTTCAACAGCCTTTGCCATCCTACGGAACTCCTTCTTCATCACAGATTTGTGGAGCAATGAAGCAGGCTTGTTCTGCTTCTTTGTCTTTGTTGTAGCCAACAAAACAGATAGATCCTTACCAACAGGCTGAACGGTAACAGTTTTCTTGTTTGCCAAACCTAACATGCCAGTGAAAGAACAAATTCAACTTCAAACAATTGAAACGGTGTGATCCAATCCATAAAACATTTCTTAGACGACGCAAACTCTGTGACCAAAGACCAAAACAACATTTTAGAAGTTTCAGAATTTCAATATATGCCCAAACTCTACCTACCTACCCAAACATTAAACACGAAAAGAATGGGCTTTTCGCGTACCCAATTTCAAAGATCAAAATGATCCATTTTTTCTTCAAAAAATAAAATTAAAATCAGAGAGAGCAACATACCAGAGAATTTGAACGAATTGAGGTTGTAGAGATTGTTGGGCTCTCTGCTGAACTGCACGCTCTGAGTGCCCCTTCCGAACTCTTTTACCAAGAAAGAGTTGTTCTTCTTCACGATCTCCCACACAAGTTGCCCTGGAACAGTCGCCATTTGCTCCTTCTACCTGCAACTCACAACTAGGGTTTTGCGTTAGGCTCTATATTTATATAGGACAGGAAAGAAACCCTAAGTTTATCAAAATGAAGTAACCGGGTTCGGAAGTTCGATCCAGGAAGTTCGACCCATTAATCCGTAATCAAGATCCGTGAAGTGTTGGTTGGATCTGATTCACATAGCCCATTAACATGTAATTAAAAATATTAATTTATTTTAACAGATTAATAAAAATCTTAATCTTACTATTCCCTATATCTTTTGTTAAAAAAATACATGCTAATTACTAATTATTTTATATGAATTTTAAATACAAGAAGTAATTCAAACAACGACGTGATCCGAACAACAATTATGATGAATCAGTTTGCTTAAATTTAATACAAGTATATCTTTATTAAAAGTAAATAAGATTTACTTATTAAAATAAGTTTAAAAAACTGTTTATTTTTAAAATTAATTATATTAAACGCATAAAAAACATAAAACTTTATTAAATATACACAAACATACCCGTCCAACAACTATCTTTCTTTTAGGATTGTTACATCAATTAAAATTAATATTTTTCTTATCTTGTTTGTAAGTTTAGTTTACTGATATAGATTATTCATTGTTATAAACAGTTATCAATGGGATTTTCATAGTTTTTTTAAACATATGCTATATTTGATTGTTATAATTTATTAATTTTTCAAAAGCAAGTTTTTCACCACAAAAATTGCATCCAAAAATTGACATAGTTGATGAATATAATTCCATATAAAATACTTAAATAAAAAAGGTAAAATGTAACATAATTCTAAATTTTTTATTTACTTTTTTTTCCTACACAAGTCAATGATATATAATATATTTGTAAGAATCTTTTCATGAAAAGTTGGCTGAGATACTTCATTCAATCAATTGGAAAACGATGAGGAAAAAACACGAACAGTTGCAACAAGAAACACCAAAATTAAATCTACAGTTAAATCGTTTTGTTCTAGAACTATCAATACTCCAACATGATACTGTAGTAGAATAATTATTCTCTTGTTTCTTTTGCATGCTATTGATGAAAGAACACCCACAATAAAGAAGAAACATACAGAGATGAAAGATGAGAATTTTATGTGGGGAACCTGCATTATGTATTGATGTGATAACAAGTTTGCATACAAAACACAATAAATTGAAATGGGGATTGATCCAAATGTTCTCATAATTGCAATTTTGTTTGTTTTTAGCCTTGTAGGATTCATAGAGGTGAGTATAAAATGTGGTTATTGAACCTCCGTAACATCCTAATTCATTACTTTTTAAGAACCTAATATCAGGTAAAACACCTAATACTAGACCATCCCTCTTTACACCTCATCCAATGTTACATTATTTACAGAGCCAAAGAGAAGCCTCAGATGATTTAACACCTACAGTTCTACATGAAAATGGTCTTCAAATTGTACAGAAGATTCAACCTTCATGGCAGAATTTGTGGGGCTGCAAACTGTGCATATAGTTAAAAGTAGATAATATTATGGTCTGCAGAAGTAAACCAAAATCTCTCAAATTACCAAAGAAGCAACTATCCGCACCACCATTCAGTGTAAATCCTTCCCAACAACACAAGTCATGGGTTGGTCGACGATGTTGGTAATGCCCGGTGCGTAGACCGTGCTTGACCACTCACTGCTTCATTTATCCTACTGAACACTACTTTAAGGGGAATGCAAGCTATGACAGGACCCTTTAGCTTATCTACCACTGGTTTTCTCTCCTCTTCTGACTGTTTGTGACCTGTCAATGAAGACAACTTCCGGATCTTTTTATTCATCAGGCCGGTTTTTTTCATCTTCGATGATTTAGGTGAAAATCGCGTCGAATTCTTGGAATGTATTCTTCCGGCTACCAAGTTTGGCTTGGCCATGCAAAAGACATCACTAGCTTCCATGTCACATCCACTGCCACTCAACATTTTATCACAATGACCCTCTTCCAAAACCTCAACTGCCAAAGGGTGCCCAATGAAGGCTTTGCCATTCAGTTTACTCACAAGAGAAACCAATGGAACGTGTTGTGGCCGGTAGCTGGATTTAACTTCTAGCTTAACATCGTATAATGAAGCATCAGAACAATAGTTTCTTCCAGGGAAATCTGCCATTTGATATCTGGAGTTGACAGTGAAGCGTGAATGGCGATAAGGAAGTAATCTTTGAGGTGTGAGAGATCCATCAGGTAATAGCTTTGCCTCTGTTGTTGTAGCCTTGATATGCTTGTTCAAGTCCCGAAATCCTTCTAGTTGGCCTTCTGCTACAGGTTTGCATTTAACTTGAGAATTACAATTGTATGAAGTATGCAGTGCATCCATTCCATTCCAATCAACTTTAGAACCAGCACCCTGGTAAGAAGTTCCATCTGAATTTCCTATTCCTGGCAAAGAAGCACTGGATTGGAGGTCTGTGTCCACATATTTTCTTGAGATATGTTTTATATTTTTACTTGTATGTCTTGAATTCCTCTTTCCTTTTGACTGCCACTTTGAACTACCTTTGTCTTGTCTATGGCCAACAATATTGTGACCAGCAGCAGAACTGGTACAACCAGGTTCGTTCTTGCCCTCATCTCTCAATGACACAGCTTCACATTGACTAACATTACAAGATTGTTGTCCCAATGCACTAACTTGAGGCTTTTCAGGTGAACATGAAACCAAAATGGGTGACAAAGCTGGCAAAAGAAAACACAACAGTGAATGTCAATTATCCAGCCCACATTTTTTCAAACCAGGACACACAAAAAGGTAAAGTTGTAGTACGGCTAAATTAAAGCACTAGAGACAAAATATAACTTGCAATATTTTATAGCTTTCAAGTCTCAACGAGGCTTTTATAGATTAAATATAAAAATGGATAGCAATAAATATGCAAAACTCTGGAAAGGAACACAATCACGATTCACATATAAAACTAATATATTTACACTTACACTAGGGCTCAATAATGCAACTTTAAATAATCAGTTTGCACACATGATATTGGGACATAAGCAACAATCATGAAAAAGTAGACAAAAGCAACTGACAGTGGAGAAGGGGGAAATTTATACACATCAGATAAAACAGTTTCTGAAAAATGAGCAACACAAGTGCCACTTGTTCAAAAGGTCAATGAATCTCAATATTCTCCTTACAAAGTAGCCAACAATAAAACCATGCTTCAACCTAGTTTATTCAACTGTTCTAATCAATATGTATGTATGATCACTGTGCCTCTTCCAGGAACTACTTATATTCCCATCTCGTTTCTAAGTTATATGTTGTGACTAGGGCCTCACAACACAAACTATTTGGCTTGCTTTCACAACATACCATCTAAAGGCCTAAATCTATCATGAAACTAAAAGGGAAAATTAAGTATTGGAGAAAAGGTAAAGATAATTTTATCAGTAAGCGAGGGTGGGGGATCACAAACCGCAAGGCATTTTGATGAAAATTGTAAAAATTATACGTGCAAACACATTGCTTGGAGAGAATATGCTATAGATATTCAGATGCTATGGCATACCCGGAGTGTGTTTCTCCTCCTCAAGAACCCCAACAAACGGCACATCAAATAGTTTATCAGGAGAATCTTTGCCAACTAGCCCTGGTTGGCCACAAGTTGCATTCTCCTTGACCCCATGATTAATTTGTGAACCATCATCTCCACTACCATGGTCAGGAACAATTAATGAAGTCCCGTTCTCACAAGCAGCCTCAGTATTATCTGAATTATGTGTTGCCATTGGAAAAGTTTTCTTTGAATCATTAGAATCTAATCCTGAAATTCTTCCATCAGTTACCCCACATTGTGGAGAACTATTTGAATTGGGAAGCTGATCACAAATGACAGGAACTGACACCATGGCTGTACTCTCCAGAACTTTAGTCAAGGGCCGGCGTCGATTTTTCCGTTTCAAAAACTCGTGAACATTTGTCACTTGTGATCTCTTCCTTTTCAATGTTGAAGAATAACCTTTACCACCATTTACAGATGTTCCATTTGCCAGGCAGTTCCCTGTGGTAGAATTGTTGAGTGAAGCACTAAT